GGGTTTATGAGTGGGGCTACATAAGCTACTTTTGCCGAATATCTAAATTAAGTACTTTTTCACGAGGTAGCTTATTCAAGAAAATATATAAAATTGATCTTAGGCTTACTTATATCGGACTTTCGTTTCGGACGCTCATTTTCTCTCGGCCTTTAGTTTGCACGTTTATATGCGTCTACCTATATGACCCAAGTGGCCGTCTTGATAAGAACTAAAATCCTAAAACCCATTTTTTTACTAAATGCTTTTAAGAACTAGCACATTATGAAGCTTTTGACAAGCACATCTAACCGAACCTAGATTTATGGAAAAAAGTTCTAAATGAAGTACAGTCGTGAAACATTCGCCGGGCTTTCAGGGACGACCTGAAATTAATTGTACACCAATACCGGAAAGATCTATTAATTTTTACGAAAGAATAGTTCTTCTAATATATACAGTACGGGATTTCGACGACTTCGTCTGGCAAGTACGTTCGCTTAGATTAAATTCATGGCTACGATGGGGTCTCGATAGCTCGATTACCTAGAGCGTTAGATGTACTCAAGCCCTCCCATGATGGCGTGGATTCGAATGCCACCGAGGCCGCCGAAGTTTTCACAATTTGGTCAATTCAATTATATTTAAATTTCCTAGTCACGGTGACAGATATTTTCACGTTTTTGGAAAACTAAAGCCCTTGACTCAAGCTCTGACCAGTTCAAAAAAAAATTTACTAGACGATTCAGCTACCTGTATGACATCTCAGGTTTAAGAACCTACAGTGTCCTTATCAATAAATACTTTTGGCCAAATTAAAAAAAAACTTTTAGCTCTAAAATGCATAGGCAAACACCTCGGGTATGAGGAAATTGTAGACCAGATCAGAAGCCTCTTGTGCGGCTGTCCTTTGCATGTCCGACCGACGTTGATCCTCCACCCGAATGGCGCCGATAGCGTCATATTCGTTTCTGGCATGATAGTCGGCAGTGGAGTCCATGGTTGCCTCAGCTATGTCTCTAAAGTAACTGTCCACAGTGTCCTGATGCACTTTGACGATCTGTGTTGATAAGGAAAATAAAGGTATTCAGGTATAAACGGTAAGCAGTCAGCATCGATGGCTTTATATTTATTTAAATTAACACTGCTACTCAATGTTATTCAGTACAACTAGTATATAAACCTAAGATAGTGCCGTAACGGACGCGTAGCTGATTGGAAAGAGACACTCTCCGCTAATGTGTACCTGTCTGAAGTACTCGTCCTCCTGGCGCCGCCTACGCTCCTCTTTCTGCCGACGTCCACTCTCCTCAGCCTCTCTCATTCTGCGCTCCCGGTTGGCCAACATGGCGAATGCGTGCAGACGACGCTCCACAATGAGACGATCCAGCTCCTTGCTCAGGAAGTCCA